TTTTTCTTCATTACCCATTCAAGCCATCTCCAAGCATTATTAGCTTCAAAGTGGGTTCCTCGTCATCGAAGGTGGTTCTAAATGGTTCCTGAATACCTCTGCATGTCATTTGGAGGCTTCCATGCTTCTTGTGCTTGGCTGTTATGCTTGTGATTTGCTGACGGATTTCAGTCACCTTACCACTTCAAACCACTTTTCACAGCCCCAACACTAAAAGAGTGTGGGAAATGCCTTCTTTTTAGCTAATAAAAATTTCCAAAAAATTTCAATTCAAATTAAGTAAAACCGGGTTGGGTAGTTTTTTTAAGAACATTTATTTTAAAAAATTCAGTTTTCATAACATTTTAATTTTTATTTAAACTTTTGAACAATCTAAATTAAAGCCTCTTGATATACTGCATTGAGAATCATAGTGATGAGCTGCCAAATCTAATATTTGCCTTCTTCTTCTATCTCTTTCCCTTTCTCAAACTTCTTGCTACAGTTGTGTCCTTCATTCCTTCAAGTCTTTCATTTCTTAATTCATCAGTTTCTTGTGCAGGTATATCTATTAACTTCTGGAGACTGTATGAGTCACCATGGTAGGTTTGGTGGAGATTAGTCAAACAGTGTGCGAGGAGTTAGTGGACAAACAAACATAAAATTTTGCTTATATATATATATATATGTATTGATTTTGGGATTTTCTCTTTAGCCTTTCTTCCTGCCTTTAGCTTTGTTAGCCTGCTAAGCTGAAGAAGTGTGCTTTAACTTTGGCATTTTCAAAATTGAAATGTGCTGCGACTAAACCGTGCAGGTTATTATAGAGTTGTAGCTGAGGGTTCCGACTGGACAAAATTTATCGATGTTCCATCAGTGTGTCTCCTTGACAACCAAGCAAACATAATGGGAAATTGCAGCCACTTATTGTGATTTTTATGCTTCAGCAATCCCGAGTATGGGTCATACATATACCCAATTTAATTTATCATCATGATCTCTACCAACCTACCCTCGAATCTTACCTAACTCTTATATGCCCAAATTTATCAGTGTGAAAGATGAACAGACAGAATTTTGACCCCTCCATATTACTTCTTCTGGGAACACAGGAGTCACCATGCCAAGTTTGGTGGAGATTGGTCAAATAGTGTGTGAGAATTTAGTGAACAAACACACAACAGATTTTACTTTGATATGTAAAGATTGTTTACTATTTAATGATTATACTAGCTTTTCCTGGACCATTACAAACTGTTGAATTGGAGTTTTATAATAAAAAAATGGGGGTCCAAGCCCTTCCATCACTGAGCTTTGTTCACACTTATAATAAATTTTCTACTTTATATAAATATAAATAAATGTTCTTCACTTAATTGGGTATCTTTTGCTAGTTTGCCATTTTTGTACTACACTAAATAATGTGTAGAAAAAGTCCTAAATTACAAAAATATAACACCTTTTTTTTCTTACCTAGAAATTTGTTTCTCAAAAAATTGTCATATTCAGGATTTTTTATAGGTATGACTTTAATGGTTCATTACTTTACTGGCACATCAAATATTTTAATGATGTCATCCTTTGGAACTTGAAATTTTTAATTTTTAAAACTATTTTAATGTATTACCAAAAGATAGACACTGGCTGTTATATATATTAGACCAGTTATCCAAGGTAGCAATAAACTTCTCTAAGCGGTAGGAGTCCAAGGCTTAACTAACATAATATTATCACCCATAACGTCTCAGTGGAAATGGTAGAAGTTGTCTTTTTCAAGTTGCTCTGTGGTAAGTGGAATGGTTTCACAAATCCATTGATGTTTCACATGTACCAGAACATATTTTTCAAATTATGTCATACAACTTAAAAATTATGGTTTAAGTGCTGAAAGAAGAAGAAGCATGCAAAACCAATGGGCCTGAGGTTTGTGATAAAAAAAATTCTGTCATAAAGTTTAAACCTAAAAAGTTAATTTCATGTACCATCATTAGTTAATATTAATGACAATATGTATCTAGGAGAAAGAAAAGATGATTTATCTAAAATAATAATAGTAAAACTGAAAAACTTCACAAAAACGTAATGAAAACATATGAATTATGGTCACTAATCTCTAACTTAGATGTTTGTTTTTACAATTTGCCAAGAACTTTGAAATGTCCATATCAAGCTAAGTATATGCATAAAGTAAAATTTAAAATGATTTAAAAAAGTGGAATTCATGCCAGCCTTTGTGAGCATTCCAGGTATTGTATATATATATACGTAAATAGACAACAATATCAGGTCACAGTTTTGTTACTGAGCGACACAAACAAACAGAGCATTACCAAAAGACAACAGGCTTTTATATAAATAGATTGGCATAACATGCTTTCTTACTGAAGTACTCTATGAAGTAGTTTGCCTTCAGTTTTAGTGTTAAGTAGTCAACCTACGAAGTAGTTTGCCTTCATATGTTAGTTTTAAGTCCTTAACCAACTGAGTAGTTTGCCTTTAGGTGTGTAAAATCTGCATCACTGAAGGTGTTTAAAAGATGGGATGAGTATTTTCAAGATCTGAGCTGGCTGTAAGAAAAGAAGTTTGTTTATTTAGTTTATAGTAGGATGGTACAGTAGTAGAAAACGTGGTAGCCTCTATAGATGGGGTAGGATTGTATGGTAGTAGAAAATAGGATAGCCTATATAAATGAGTCAAATGACTAGCTTGTTATTCTTGGAAGTATAAAAATAAGTTCTATTAAAAATGCGGAAGAAATATATTGAAAAAGGTTTTAAGAACTTCATTGTGGGTTGTTTAAGGCTATGTACTGATTTCTTTGGGGCGGTAATAATAATATCTAGCTTTTAAAATGATAGATGATAATTTTCTGTGTATGTAGGTTGGCTAGTGAAGTTATTAAAGATGCATATAAGTTGTCATCGATGTGCTGTAAAGTTGTATGATAAATTTGTATTTGTAAGTTGCTGCTTCTACAATCATATTAGATCCAATCAGTATTATGGATAATTGGATGAATGAAAAGGTTCATATGAAAAATTGTTTTCTGGAAGGGCTATGAAAACAAAGGGAAGGAAGAGTGATGTTTGAGTTTGTTAAAAATGCACTTGAAGTAGTATCTTAAATATCTCCTGAATGTTAATAATATAAGAAAAAAGATATATCAATCAAAATGAGTACTATTCATTTTTGTAATTCCTAAAAGACTTAAGAACTAAAATGTTTCTTTTTGTGAGGGAATTAAAAAAAAACTACTTCCTCCATTGACTGATTGAAAGAAATATTTCGAAGATAGGATCATGAATGGAAAAACGGCAAAGATAGGGAAATGTTTAAATATAAATTTATTGTTGTTTGGTTTAGATATATTTCTCATGTTGGTATTATATACATGCATGATTTTATTTTACTGTGGCAAATAAATGGACTTGAATTGAATCTCCTGTTTGACACTTCTTATAGTAATGACAACTGTCAAAAAGAGCTCTCTTCAGTAGTGGTCTTTTCTTGTTCCCATTAAAATAACAAGGAATGGTGACATCCAGTAGAAAAAATCCCTGTAACTACTTAGCAAACCTGAGTGCTCTGTTGTGGTGGATGCATCCATTGCATCAAAACCCAATCATTTTTGCCAACAATACATTACAGTCAGTCTCCTTTGTTTAAAAACAAACACAATGCAATTTATTTACTGAATTAACATGTGGAATAACAAAAGATGGCTGTTAACTTCGCACTAGACAATCTTATTGCATATACACTTTGATTCAAGGGATTGGGTTGTCTGCACATTTTATATTTATCCATCACTATTTTTTGGAAACTACCACTGAATTGTTTCAAAGGGCACCTGCTAGTTCATCATAATGAATGCCAAAGATGCTGCTTACTTTTTAGGCATGTCAACGTAGTTTATTAATAATGAAAGGAATATTTTTATACATTTATTTCAGCTGCTAACAAAAATAATTGCTGCAAATTAATTAGAAAAATTTAACCTCTTCTGGACATAGATAATTTTCTGTAAATAGAGGGGCTGTTATGTGGAATTTTAAGAGGATATCATTTGAAAAACTGGTGTACACAAACATTTAGAGGTGATTACAGTAGATTCACAATACACAAAAGTTGAGTGATTAAAGTAAATATACTTAATGGGATTTATGGAGATTTCTTTTAGCAGTAGTTAGCTGTTCCAGATCTTGGAAAACTCTGTGCCTATTAATTGCAGTGGATGTTGGATGATTGTAAATTTGGATTCGAAAATTCTTACTATACTGGGACCGTACTACAATGAGGTCCACAGAGTCCATATTGCTAGACCACATTATAGGGGACACCTCATTATAATGAGGTTCTTTCAAAAGTGCCAAGCCATTAATCAGAATAATGCACAATTACAGATAAACTGATTAAAATAGCCTCATAAACAGATAAACAATCTCATTTGATGAAAACAAACAGACTTCCAGTAACAAACTGAAGACAATTAAAATAAATTTATTAATAAAATAACAATGAAGGCACAACCAATAATCAAGCAGTTAATAAAGAACACAGTTTTGAAAATATTAAATATCATATTTATTTAAATTCATATTTTACAAAAACTGTGACCTAAAATGAAAAATTTGACAATAAAATTTCTTTTTATTGAATTGCTTGTTGGGTGGGGATGAGTATTATCTGTGGAAGTTTGTCATTTGTGAAGCATTTATATTTCAACAGTGTTCAACACATTGCAAAAACTATTGGAAATACATTCTTAAAGGATAAATTTAAATGAAAATTCTGGTGACCAAGACAGACCCATGTTATACCAAGTTCTGTGCTATAGCTGAAAGTAAATTGCTGAAAAAGAATGTTTTCTTACACCATAAAATACACTTTAAGTGGACAAATTATATAAGTCCAAAGTTCCTTGATGGTGACTCAGTGGTAAGCTTAAAAGCTTATAACTTTAATATTTTGGATTCAGTCCTCATGGCAGATGTTGCAGTCCATTGTAGTTTTGAACTAAAACCATTTATATCAACATGCTAAGTATAAAAAATAAAAAAAGGTTTTGGTATTTTAAAAAAGGAAACTTACTGGAAGAATAAAGGCTTTGAAGATCTTCAGGTCTAGATAAATCATTACATTAAAGGTGCAGAGGAAATGTGAATGTTAGTTGGTGCTCACTAAATTTAGATGTTGTAAAAATGAAAAAAGCTTAGGAAAATGTTGGGTCAGTGAACAGTACAAGTGGAAACATGAAGGATGAAACTTAAAGCAGAGGATATGAACAAACTTTTTACAAGTAATCATCCTTTAAAACAATTATTTTATTGATTCAGTTGTTAATCATAGAGGTTATAATGTTGATACAATAGAACATTAATACAAAGACATTTTTTTATCAAGCGATGTACTACACTAAACAGTGTCTATGATAATAAAATTAATAATACAGTAATATTATCATATCTACAAGGTATAACTAGACAAATTGCCAGTGTATTCAAGAAACATGATTTTATTCTTATTTTTAAACCATTTAACAAACTTAAAACAATACTTCTTAGCATTAAAGATAAAAACATTTAAGAGAAAAAGGGATATATCAAATTAGGTGTGAATGCAGCAAAAAATATATTGGTCAAGCTAAATGTAATTTAAAATTTTGTCTTAAGGAACGTAAAGGTTATGTTCATAACAAACAAAATACTAATTTTCTCCTCTTTCTGAACACATTGTTGAAACAGGTCATTCTATACAGTGACATGAAACAATAATTTTAAATGAACCTAATACTCAAAATGAATTGAATATTAGAGAGTCAACAGAAATTTTGTGCTGTAAAATAAATAGTTTTTTGTTAAATAGAGATGAAGGGTTAGCTTGTGATAATACACAGTTTTGGAAATAATATTGACTTATGTACAATTAATAGGAAAAATAAATTAAAATTTTAACAGAAGATAGGGATCATTGGTTATTCATAGAATTGCTGTAAGAAGTATCTAAAACAAAATAAATGCTGCAATAAAAAGTACACAAACAAGTAAAGTGATAATAGTTGGATAAATTTTTAAAAGATGATTTTCAATTCCTACTTTGATTGTCAAATTTAGACTGCTTCTTTTAGCTATACAGATCACAATTCCACTTTGGCCTACAGATAAGTCTATAAAGCTGCCAAAGTAGGGATTAAATTTTATAAATTTGTGATTGTGGTTTTAATTCTTGTTTCATTACTTTTTGTAGCAATATACCTACTTCATTTTCAAAATTCATAACTTTTTAATATCCTTGTTTGTTTATTTTTTATGTTGTACTTGTATAAAGTATATACTTTACCTTTAGAAACTGTTGCTTGTCTATCCATTAATATGTAGCACTGTCTGTTGGGTTGAAAAGATATTTAAGTATGTGCATGTTATGTTTGCCATTTATAAAAAATCTGTATATATTTATTGGAATATCAAAAGAGGATACCCACAGACCAGTAAAGTAAGCTGGAGAAATCTTGTAGTCTGAGCCATCTAGGGGCTAGCCCCACTGACATGATTACATAAGGTAGTAGACGAAAAAGTTGCTGTTTTTGGAAGTGTTTTAGTAGACTAGTACTTTGTAAAATACAGTCACATTTCAATTATTATACATTATATATGTATATA